CTCTTGTAGACCAGGCTGGCCTCGAACTCAGAGATCCGAACTCAGAGATCCGCCTGCTTCTGCCTCCCGAGTGCTGGGATTAAAGGCGTGCACCACCACCGCCCAGTTTAGAAGAGCTCTTTTTGAGCTTCCCTTTCTGCTTGATGGTACTGATGTTCAGGGTACAATCAACTATTTATTTTTTTAACTGATAGTGGACCAAAAAATTGGGGCCTTACAGAAGAAACCCATTGCAGCAAAAGTTGAAAGTTGCAAAGACTGGATATGTGCACTGCTAAAGTACTCACTTGCATGGGATTTGATTCCAGTATCCAGGAGATACTAGAGACTCCAAGGGAATGAACAGGAGTCTGATTAGATGAAAGTTTCTGACCCTAAGTGGGCATGTACATACAGAGTGATGAGGTCATCTTCTGGTCCTGTGTGTTGTCATGGTATACCCCTCTACCCCCAGCCATCCAGCCAAAGGACCAGGCCTGTGTGCTCTACTTAAATTCTAGTAGTTACCTGGCAGAGTGTGCTTCCTTCATCCTCACAGCAGCTCTGGCCTCTAAAGTTTCATTTGTCCTTAAAATCAGGACAAAGATGGATATGTAGCCAAAATATGTATTAGGCTGGACACAGCCTGATGGTCATCAGTTTGTACTTAATAAGCCAATACAGTTGATGTGATGGCACATTAATACCAGCACTTGGCAGGCAGAGGCAGGACAATTAGGAGTTCCAGGCCACCCTCTACAAATCGAGTTCAAGGCCAGACTGAAGCTACCTGATATTCTTATCTCAAAAAGCTACGAAGAAAGTAATTACAGTGGAGAAAGAGCCTACTTTTTGATTTGAGTTCAAAGAGAAGGTAGTTAAAAATGACTTACAGGTTTCTCCATGAACACATTTCCCCTTTTGTGTGTATTCTTCGGTTTTGTTTTGTTAGACAGGATTGGGGTTAGAGTCCTTAGATTTGAACATGCTGTGAAGCACTGTGTCACTGAGCTGCATCAATGCTATCCTGTGAATTTTCAAAGCGTCCTTGACTCAGAAAAAAAGGTTAGGGTGAAGTAGATTATTTAGAGTTTTTTTTTTGTTGTTGTTGTTTTTCTTCGAGACAGGGTTTTTTCTGTAGCTTTGGAGCCTGTCCTGAAACTAGCTCTTGTAGACCAGGCTGGCCTCAACTCAGAGATGCCTCTGCCTCCTGAGTGCTGGGATTAAAGGCGTGCGCCACCACTGCCCAGCTTATTTGGAGTTCTTTAAGAGTCACAGGAAGCCCTTAAAAACAAGTGATTGTATGAGTCAAAGACATGTTAATACTTAAGCTAGAAGTTGTTACATTTTCTCATTTCGATTCTTAAAATCTCACTTTCCCCCTCAAAATATGATTTCAATTTTTATCTCCTGCTTTACTTCCATTCAGGGGTAATGCACACTTATATCTAAATTATCTTTTGTTTTTGTTTTTCAAGACAGGGTTTCTTTGTGTAGCTCTGGCTGTCCTGGAACTCACTCTGTGGGCCAGGCTGGCCTCAAACTCATAGGTCTGCCTGTCTCAGCCTCCTGAGTGCTGGGATTAAAGGTGTGCACCACCACTGCCTGGCTACAGCTGAATTATTTTTAAGAGAAGGAACGCAGATCTCTGAGTTCAAGGCCAGCCTGGTCTATAGAGAGTTCCAGGTCAGCCAGAGCCACACACAGAAACCCTGTCTTGGTGGAAAAGAAAAAAGAAAAAAGAGAGAAAGTATATCTGAAGAAGCATCTGTGTGTGTGTGTGTGTGTGTGTGTGTGTGTGTGTGTAAGCATTTTGATTTTTTGTGGGTTTTTTGTTTTGTGGTGCTTGGGGATGAACTGGCTACTTCAGCTTGGTGATACTCTTAAGCTTATATTTTGGGAGAAAAATTGTCTTCAGGGAGGGGAAGGGGAAAAGGTATGCCAGGCATTGGGTAGGGGAGGTCAGTTTAGATCTGAGAAAAAAGACTGTGTCCCTGTGCTTTTGGGTGGCTGAGATGATTGAGACAGTTTACCGTGTGCTCTTGGATCCCCTATCAACAAGGCTTCATCTCTGGATTCTATATGCTTTTCTTTTGCGGGGGAGGGGGGAGCATTTGAGACAGGGTTTCTCTGTAGTTTTGGAACTTGTCCTGTAACTGTAGACCAGGCTGATCCGGAACTCACAGAAGTCTGCCTGCCTCTGCTTCCCAAGTGCTGGGATTAAAGGCATGCATGCATCACCACACTCAGTTTCTATGTATGCGTTTAAGCTGCTTTGTCTGTAGGGATGCTTGTTTTGATAATAGCCAGGTTGCTTTGCTAGAGAATGACAGAAGAAAGGAGAAGCTGCCTCTTGGTGTCCTGTCACTACCCTATCTGAAGGTGATTAGCCTGTTTGAATTTTTACCACTATCTTACTGTACTCCATCTCTCTGAGAGCCTCCTGCACTGCTGCCCATAGCTCTTGTCTAGGCTGCTTGTTGTTAGTTTGGATGTGGGGTGCACAAACTTTGAGGAAAAGTTTGCTAATAAGTCTAAAGGCTAGCTTTCTCTGCGTAGACACGGAGGTCCCATTCTCTGCTGCATCTGACAGATGGTAGTGGTTGTCATCTGCCTTTGCTGATACATATCTAGTGTTAAAGCAAAAATGTGAGCTTGTGAAGCCAAACTCACTGTGTTGGCAGTTCATTTTTCTAGCTCTGTGGGCTTCTCTATCTGGTTGTGGTTTGTTCTAGCCATAATTTTTTAAAAGCCTCCTCCAGGTATAATGGCACATATGGTAAATACTAGCAATTGGAAGGAAAAGGCAGAATGATTCCCACGAGTTTGGGACCAGCCTTGCCTATGTGACAAGAGCCTATCTCCTAAAAAAAAGAAAAAAAAAACAAAAACCAAACCAAACCAAACCAAAACAAAACAAAACAAAAAAAACACTTCCAGAGGGAGGAAGGGTTGTAGACACCAGAGGGGTCAAGGACATCACAAGAAAACTCACAAAAACAACTTACCTGGGCTCATAGGGACTCACAGAATCTGAACTGACAACCAGGAAGCCTGTATGGGACTGACCTAAGTACTCTACATATATGTTACAGTTGTGTAGTATAGATGGAGTTTCCTGTCTCATAGCTGTTTCCCAAATGCAGAGACTCAATATTAGTTGGAAACACTTGGCCAATAGCTCAGAGTTGTTACCAGCTAACTCTTAACATTTAAATTAACCTGTATTTCTCATCTCCGCTCTGCCACATGGCTTGGTACCTTTTCTCAGTATGGCATGCTCATGTTGTTTCTCTTTTTCTCTGCTGAAGACTCCAGGCTCTCCCCTTCTTCCTCCCAGCAGTCTCCTAGTCTGGCTCTCTAGCCCAATCTCTTTCTGCCCAGCTATTGGCCAGTCAGCTTCCTTATTAAATCAATCACAGTGACATATATTCACACAGTGTAAAGGCATATTCCACAGCAGTGTAGCTTGCTCTACTTCTGGGACTCCTAACAATGGGAGCAGGACCTGTCCCTAACACTTTGGCCAGCTCTTGGGAACCTGTTCTTCATACTTCATACAAGGGAAGGTGCTTAGTCTTACCTTACCTTGATATGCCATGATTTGTTGATACCCATGGGAGTCCTGCCCCTTTCTGAACATAAATAGAGGAGAAGTGGATTGGGGCAGAGGAGAAGAGGGAGGGGAAACTTCAGTCGCGATGTAAAATAAATTTTTAAAAAGCCAGGCGGTGGTGGCACATGCAGAGGCAGGTGGATCTCTGAGTTCGAGACCAGCCTGGTCTACAAGAGCTAGTTCCAGGACAGGCTCCAAAACTACAGAGAAACCCTGTCTCAAAAAACCAAAAAAAAAAAAAAGCTGGGCGGTGGTGGTGCACGCCTTTAATCCCAGCACCCAGCACTTGGGAGGCAGAAGCAGGCGGATCTCTGTGAGTTTGAGATCAGCCTGGTCTACAAGAGCTAGTTCCAGGACAGGCTCGAAAAACCAAAGAAAAAAAGAAAGAAAGAAAAAAACCCAAACAAACCAAACACTAAAAAGCAAATTTAAAAAAACCCACTTCTATTTACATCAGTAGCAACTGAGCATTGGCCCAATCATGGTTTAATGGAAAGATTGAGGATTTGGGTCAGAAGATCCATTGTCTCTGACTTTTGGGTCAGACACCTGAGCTTTAGTATCCTCATTTGCAAGATAGAGATGGGAACAAACAATGATATGATGCAAAGAGAGGTTCTTTGCAAATACTAAAATGCCACTGGTGGTTCTCAGGAAAGGCAGAGATGGGTCACTCTGTATCACGGGAAAGAGTTGATGCCGCAGCACAATGGGAAATCACCATTCACTCCAGGGAATGTTTGAGCTGCCCACTTTGAGCAGAGTAGAAGTGGTAGCTGGAAACAGTGGCTAGAATCACATTGACTCAGGCCTTGAATACCAGGCCAGCTGGTCAAGGAAAAGCCAGAAGGAAACAAAATGAATCTGGAGGTGAGTGGGTACTGGGTTAGAATGAAAAGAGCCTGGTAGTTAGAGAGTGCTGTTCTATGAAGGGGAAGGCAGGTCTTGATGAGAGAGGTGAACCTGAGTTGCAAAGCAGATGCTGTCCGGGAGAGCCCACAGTCAGAAGATAGCAGTTCACATCCCAGTTGAACACAGGGTAAGGGAAAATGCATTCAAAATGCCTCCAAGGTTTTCTGTCAGTTGTGACAGAATTTTCATTATGGAGCCTCTTAGGCTAAAGATAGACTCATAAATGTGTTGGGAATTTACATTGAATAAATGAAAAATCAGAAACATCAGAGACTGAAGCTGTAGGTGTAGTTATCAGTTTTGAGGTTGAAACCTGGCCTCATAACGTTTGAGAATGTGTGCCAAGAGTAAAGAGAAACACTGAATGGAGCCTGGGAAATAAATGTTAATATATGATGAGCCGGAAGGAAAGAACAGCAAGTTTTTAGACCTTTATGCATGTCTTCTCCTATTTCTTTAGCCATGAAAAATTCACTTGAATTTACCTTTGTAGGAAACGTATGTGCAAAATTCCTGGATGTTTCTTGAATAACATTGAGAAGTTAAAAGAGTATTCTGGAAGGAATTTCAAGCACAATAAGGAAGAACTGGCTCAGAAAATCTACGCACTACTTAACCACACTGTCTTTGATGGAAAGGTAGAAACAACGAATAAGTTTCTATTGAATACCTCTTGTACACCAGCATGCTTGGCTGCTGTACTAACCATGTCTGCTTCATGTCTTGGAGCTGTGCTAGTTTGAGTAGACCTGGACCACTCCATGGGTAGAAAAGAAAGACTTATTGGGGTCCAAACTGCCAAGGCTCTCTCTCAGAGGGGCAGAGAGAAGCAAAACAGTGGGAAAGCAAGCAGATTTTATGATAGTCAGCAGGTAGGGGTCTTTGTGCTGATATAGGCTGTTCAGATTAATCAGGAACTAGATGCCCTTACCCAATAATCGTCTGTTTACCCAGTTAGTCCTTCTGTTTAGGACATGGTCACCAGCGCAGCTGTATTTGGGGGGGGCACTTTGGACTTAGCAAACATGAGAGAGAATGCTTGTGTGAAAGAGAACTTGTTTTGGTTGTATATATGAGCAGATGGCTATTACAGTAGGAGATTAGCACAGGGAGAATGACTGAAAAGTCTGAGAAGTCAGAAAATAGGATTTCCTGAAAGACATGAGGCTCCTGCTCCTTAAAAAATGGTTTGTACTGAGAACGGCAGCAGGGAAAGGACATGTGATAAGGTAAAGAAGATGATGAGAAGGAGCTGGATGAGTTGCTTAGCCTCCTTTTACCCATGTCTCTTGTAAAATGAGGCCAATAATAGTGCAGTCATCTTTCTGTGCCTGCAGGGAACGGGTTCTGGTACCCCTCAACAAATGGCAAAATCTACAGGTGCTCAAATCTCTTATATAAAATGTCCTCTGCTCATCCTCTGTGTATATTTCTAGCAGATGCATGTTTTTGTCATTTTTTATTATCTGACAGTTTTGTACATTTATGTAATAAATTGTAGTCATTTTTGATCTGCAGTTTGTTGAATCCATGGTACAGAACTCAGGCCCATTCTACTTACTACCTCAGAGTTACTATTAGACTGCAATATTTCCATAATCATAAAGTGCTTAGAACAGGGCCTAGGTACAGCAAGCTCTTGTTGTCTTGTCTTCGATGGCCTTGGCAAGTAGGTTAGGAAAAGTTAAATTTAAATTGGTAGGAACCAGTGCACAGGAATGTGTGACGGGAAGCTACTGCTGAATCCATCTGCCAATAGCTTGGTGGTATGGACTGGATTAGAAAATGCAGAGGTAGGGACCTTCTGGCCACTTGTTTTGCTTGTTTGTTTTGGGCTCTTTTATTTCTTACCATGCTTCCTGCATGTGAGGAAAGCACCCTACCCCTGAGCTGTACCATCACCGGTAGATCGTTTGTTGTTGTTTAATCCAGTGTTACAGTCTTCTGCTGAAGAGGCTTTGTGGAGGGAATTCTTATATCCTGAAGGTCCTGTAGCCTTAAAAATCTCCTTCCTTGTGTCCTGATTAACCTATTAATTGTCATTCCCAGGACTTCAATGTTTAGATTTGTTTTTTATTTGCATAAATTTCTCTTCAGCAACTCAAGAATGTAGGAGACAGTTCCTCTTACTTTGTTTTTATTTTTTGAGAATTTCATATGTGACTACTATCTTTGTGTCATTTCTACCACCCCTGTTCTTCCTATATCTCCACCTCTCAAATTAATGACCTCTTTGTGTGTGTGTAGTATGTGTAAAACCTTTTTTTTTCTTTTTCTTTTTGGTTTTTCGAGACAGGGTTTCTCTGTGGTTTTGGAGCCTGTCCTGGAACTAGCTCTTGTAGACCAGGCTGGTCTCGAACTCACAGAGATCCGCCTGCCTCTGCCTCCCAAGTGCTGGGATTAAAGGCGTGCGCCACCACTGCCCGGCTATGTGTAAAACCTACTGAGTCCATTTAGTGTTGCTCCTATGTGTTTAGAGCAGAGCTCTTGGGATTGTATAGCCGATAAGAGTTCATCACTGGAAAACTGATTATTTCTGCAGGGCAGTTATTACCTGTGGCGTTTCATCTAGGGGTGGTGCCTTGTGAAATTTCCCTTGTCCACATTGGCATGTCCTCTTACTTTTTCTCAGAGGGAGAAAAACTCTTGTTCTTATTTTCTGATATGAGTTGTTTCTAGGGAGATAGCTTAGCAGTTAAGAGCACTTAATGCTCTGGCAACAGACCCAGGTTTGGTTCCCAGCATGCACTTGGAAGCTCGCAACTGCTCTATAACTCCAGATCCAGGGGACCTGACACTCTCTTCTGGTACACATGTGGTACATATAAACTCAGGCTTATACACATACACATACATTTTTTAAAAAAAGTAAACCTTTAGAACTGCTTTCTGATACTTTTGTTTGCTTTTCATTTTCAGTTGCCAGAGAAAATAGAAATCATTTGGAATAAAAAGATGCTACGGACTGCTGGTTTATGCACTACCCATGAGATACAACAACCCAAGAGGCAGCGCTATGCTAAGATTTCAATTTCTCCAAAAGTCTGCGACTCTGCAGGTGATTCCAGGACTATGGTGGATTTACCCTAGCACCCTGTCCTTCTGATCTGTTAAATTACTCATCCCCGGCAACCTGTGTCACAGCTTTGAACTGTCATTTCCATGTGGGTAGGCCTTCTGTATGTTGCTGAGAGGACATCATTATTAGATGTCTCACCTTTCCTAGGAATTCAGTGTAGTTTCCAGGCCCATCTGCACATTTCCTTTGCCAAAGCCAGGTCTCCATTCTCTCAATTGCCAAGGGTCAAGATGCCCGCTCTAGCCAGACAGTTTTTCATTTGTCAAAGTCTGGTGACTTATCCCCTCCTTCTGTTCCCTCAGTTTGTGTGTGTGTGCTACTATGTTGCTTTCCTGCTCAGAGCCTGGTTTTCAAGGCCATGGTAGTCTTCTCCTGCTTCACGGGTTTTATCTGGCTTCTCACTGCTCGCTGCTAGCCCATGGTTTATCCATTCTTTGCCCATTGGCTCTCAAAATGCAGCCCGTGGTTTTGTAGATCCAATCATTACTTACATTTTGTTTGACTTCTCCCGAATGCTCCCACCATATTGGAGACTATAGCCTCACACATGCCGTGTAAGTAGTATGCCATCAAATAGCAGCGACAACAGATTTTTAGAATCAAGTGTTTTGTCTTGTTTCTGATATGGTGTCTTGCTATGTTGTCCAGGCTAGTCTTGAACCCCTGGACTCAAGCAGACCTCTTGTCTCAGCTTTTTGAGTAACTGGAACTACATACAGGTGTCTGCCCCCCAACTCAGCTTTGAATGGCCGCCTTTTGGTAGGGAGGGTGAGGGTACAGGTTAGTGTAGCCTTGGCTGGCCTCATACTATGACCCTGAACTTGTATAGTTCTCTTGCCTCAGCCTTTCAGTGCTGGGATTACAGAAGTGGGCTGCCGGTTTTTTGTTTTTAATTAAAAAATATTTTTTATACAATGTATTTTGATCATGTTCTTTCCCCTCCCCCAACTCTTCCCACCTACCTTTATGTATGTTTGCCTGTGTTCTCTCTCTCTCTCTCAAAAAAAAAAAAAACAAGAAAACAAAAAACTAAAATCAAAACAAAGAAACAAAAAAAATCAGTAAGAAAAAATACTTAAACAAAGCAAAGTTGTTTTGAGATAGGATCTTGTCATATAATGCTAACTGATCTCTAACCCAGGGTCATCCACCTGTTTCATCCTCTCAAGTGCTAGGGTTAAAGGTCATGTATGGACTTAAATAGCCTTTCTAATTCTAAATTTAGTCAGTTGTTAAGAGTCTAGCTCACGGGTGTGGGGAGGGGGGTGAGAAGGCTCAGGGCCATCCAGCCTGCTGATCTGAGTTTCTTCTCCAGGACTTACATAGTCAAAGGGAAGAGCTGACTTCCACAAGTTATCCTCTGGTCTCCACATGCATGTGCATGTATGTGCATGCACACACACACACACACAATAAATAAATGTAATTAATTTTTTCATAATAGAACCCAGCTCAGATCTCTCTCTTACCCCAAACTTCTGCTCACCAAATCTCATGGCCATACATACCTCCTGAGCCCACCTTTGTCCCAAGCGTGAAGAAAGCAAGCCTCGTCCAGGTACATTTCGAGCAATGTCCCACAAAAGGATGAACATGCTGGAGCTGCTCCCCAAAGACCTGACCACTTAAGAAGCAGTCAAAACCAAAACTAGCTTGTATGTGGGTAGAAATTTGACTCTCCGGATCCTGGGAAGGCAACAATTGCAGCCGACTGTGCTTCTGTGAGACAGCCTTGTGTTTGGTAGGGGTGAAAGTCAAGGGCTTATGGGATAGTAGATCAGAAGAAAATTCATTTTAGTGCTGACAGTTTCTTTTCATTTCTCTCTCAAGATCAAATCCGGGACACCTTGATCCATGAACTATGCCATGCAGCCTCCTGGCTGCTTGATGGCATCCGGGATTCTCATGGTATCTCATGGCAATATTATGCTAAAAAATGCAATTCAGTACACCCAGAACTGCCCAAGGTCACCCGTTGCCATAACTACACAATTCACTACAAGATCTATTATGAATGCATGCTGTGCAAATACAGGTAAGGCCTTTTCAGATTTTTCCCAATTCTTTTGTTATTCCAGCCTCCAATAGCTGTTTGTTTTCTTTTTCTGGTACTGGGAATTGAGCTAAGGGACTCATGGCTGCCAGGCAAACACTACATGGCTCCCCTGCCTGAGCCATATCATCAGCCAGCCCTCTTTTCTTCCTTCTTTCCTTCCTTCCTTCCTTCCTTTCTTTCTTTTTTTTTTTTTTTTTGGTTTTTCGAGACAGGGTTTCTCTGTGGTTTTGGAGCCTGTCCTGGAACTAGCTCTTGTAGACCAGGCTGGTCTCAAACTCACAGAGATCCGCCTGCTTCTGCCTCCCGAGTGCTGGGATTAAAGGCATGCACCATCACCGCCTGGCCTATATGCTAGTCTTGAGCTAGCTTTGTAGCCTTGAACTATGGCAGGACCAAATCGATCTTTAGTAAGTCTATGGACCAATTTAAGGAGTC